TATTATGAGATGGTCAAGCTCCATATCTCTCAACACATCTCATGGGTACTTTGTACTTTCAGGCACTGGATAGCTGTATTTGGTATGTTTTTACCTAGGAATTTCAAGACTGTTGTCGAGTCACTTCTGTCCTATGCAAAAAAAAAGAATACTCCAAAAGGTAGGAACATAGACATGTTTTTATTTAAAGCAATACTTCTAGGCCAAAACATTTAGTTTTAATTTGGAGGTCGAAGGAATATGATGTGATAGGAATTTAGGTTGATTAACCGTTTTGAAAAATAGCTTAAAAACAGTATCCCCATTCCCTCTCCCTAGTGCTTGTACAGTTTGAATTGTAGGGTGAAATTTGAAATATATTTTATTTTCAGTAATTTTTTCAGCCACTTTGGAAATGTTAAAGGAAATAAATAGACTTTTGAATTATATTTTCATCTTATAAATTGAATTTGATTATTTTCTCACTTTTTAAATTCACAGTTGAAAATCCAGAGAGACTTAAGTTAATTATATCTCAGGCAATTGGGCTTTGTCAGTCCCATGTTCCTCACTTCAAGTAAGTATGAAATATCTACTTTCATATACAGCGATACATATTTGATTAAAAGACTCTGCTTGAAAATATAGAAAAAGGGGGAAGAAAAGAATTAAAGGTCCTTCCAAAAATTGATAAAGCCAATTTAGTCAATGTTTTGCTTTTATTCAAGCATCAACAGAATAAAATATAATACAACGAGACAAGCTAAATATAATTTGCCAGAAAGCCTAATTATTATGTATGAGGTAATTACCCATTCTGGAAAAGTATGTATCATGATGATAAATTATAATTGTGAATAAACAATCCTGAAACAAAGTGTGGTAAATCAAGATTAGAGCAAGTTGTCAGTGTGTCCACTGATTAATCTCAGATAAAATAGTATAATAATACACACTCCTAGTATCAAAATGCACATCAATGACGTGCATTGTGTTGGGATTCAATATTTCAACATTATTTATGTCATCATCAGGAATTATCAGTGTAAAAGCCTTTTGTATTAACATTAAATATGTCATTATCAGGAATTATCAGTGTAAAAATCTTTATTCATAGATACATAATATGCTTTTCAAAAATAGAGCTAGTGTAGAAGAGGCTTTCTTTATGGAAGAATAATGATTAAATTACTCGGATAAATGAACTGCACAAAACCACTCAATATTTTTAAATTTTTAGAGGAATCAAAAACATTAATGCGATTCAGAATCTTCAGAGGTATGCACCTAGATTTGTAGAATTTATATTACGGTAGACATCATGATAAATAAAAAGTGTTGCCGCGTTAGTCTGTTATAGAACAATATAAAATAATTACAGCAGCACTTTTGAGACTAACAATATAGAATTTATTCTCGAACTTTCGTCCACACAGTGGACTTTATCAGGAGGCTATACAAATGGGATAAGAAACAAACTATGAGTATAAAAACCTTTATTATAGTCCTTTCTTTTTCACTGTGTGGACGAAATTTTATATTGTTGGTCTCAAAAGTGCTGCTGTCATTTATTTTATATTACAGTAGAGTATTTGTTAAATAGGATTAAAATGCAAGATAATCATTAAAAAGTGTTATCTGTGCCTAAGGAAGTAAAATCATAATACTAATAAGATATTTTCTATTGTATTTTTTTTTTGCTTTTTCAAGAGCAAGAATTCCAGAATTACAAACAGCAATAAAATTACTCTTTTCGCTGCACAATCAATGCAGTAATTTACTCAACACATTGACTTATACAACAGAAGATACAAGAGAAAAAGCAGAAAATAACATTCCTGAGGAGAAGCAGGTAGACAGAGTAACGAGCACTGTATCTGAGGACCAGACAAGCATTCATATTGCACAGGTTTTTGAGACTGTATGGCAGGTTATAACACAAATAAGGTGATTTAAACAAAGTTTTTCATTTATATTTATAGCTAGGTCCACACTATTAAATTTTCTTTAACAAAAAAATATTGTATGCCCATATATAGTCATGATGTGCCTATTATGCTCATGATGGTCTTTTGAGAGATATAATTGAAGGAAGAATAGAAGGAAAAAATAGCCGCAAGGAAGAAAGAGAGTAATGTTTTTAGACGACCTGAAGGAAACAATGAAAGCTATGCCATCATGAAACTGAAATCATATGAAAGAGAATATTGGAGAAATTAACTGCTGTGAACCTGCTAGTAGGCAGAAAACAGATGATGATAATGATGTGATGTCATCATGACCATATTTAGGCTTGTCACATGTTTTTGTAAAATATGATTTGATGGTTTGGATAGGGCTTTAGATGACTTGGTGGGTGAAGGGATAGTTCGATGGATGGATAACAAGGATCGTTAAGTAGAGGTGAATGCTTGTGGTGGTTGCAGTGGCGGATTCAATGGGGCCCAGTAGGCCCAGCTCCCCCTAAATTTTTTTTTTAAATAGTAAAAAAATTTTAGAAAAAAAGAAAATTATTATCAATTATCTGAGAGTGCCATTTCCTGCTATAATCATAAATTTTCAACCATGTGGGGCTGAACTGGTACACAGGGGCGGATCCAGTAGGGGGAGACACAGAGGGCACATGCCCCCTCGTTTTGGCGCTAAATTTTAAAAATTTCAATGCAAATCAATGTTATGTGCTATTGACTTTCTATTTTAAAACTGTTGTTGCCCCCCTGCCCCCTCCCTGTTTGAAAAATTCTGGATTTGCCCCTGGTATAGACCCTTCATTTATCAAAGTCCCTCCCTGGGCCCCCTTTATTTCAAATTCCTGGATCCGCCACTGGGTTGAGTTGGTAATTGTATATTGACAGATGGGTGGATGACAACTGACAACAATAATTATATGAATATGTAGATTATTAGATAATAATTGGGTGGTAGAATATTGAGGGATAAATTTGTTAGATGGAAGAATTTATGGATGAGTAATTGGGCAAATTGTAGATGGATTGCATATGGACAAATGAATAGATAGATAGGTCAAATGACCTTGCCATCCAACATCCATTGATCATTGGGTATATCTTTCTTCAGTAGTATGATAAATATGTCAAAGTTTATTAATGATTTTTTTTTTTTTTTTTATCTTGGAAGTGTACTTGTGTTTGACAGTGTAGGCTTCACACATACAATTGAGTGCAAGGGTATAGAACATATGGCAAGGCCTAGTGTCCAGCAGGCTGTACAGTGGCTATACTCATCTGGCCGAATGCTGCAAGACATCATCAAAGCTTTCCACCGGTATGTCAATGGCTAAAAAAAAACCACACACAAGTTTACAAATACCTCATTTTAAATCTCATACATTGAAATTGGGATATTTTAATATGTGACATGTTCCTGCGAAACCCAGACAAAGTGACAAAACATACTAATTTATAATTATATCCTATAATTGATTAGCTTTAAAGTGATAACTGACTTGATGTTTATTAGTTTTCTTTAATTGGTAATGAGCATTTGAAATTGAAGTATCAGTATCAAAACAGGATCAAACTTTAGTTTGTACAAACACTGCATGCACAGTGAACAGATGCAGAATGCATATGTTTAAACAAAATTGTAAACAAAATGCCCACAACAGAATGCTTGTTTATAATAATAATTATTATGATTGAAGATGATAATGATGAACATGTTAATGATCTGTATAAAGTAGTATAGATTGAGATAAAAACATAAAAATCTGCATTTATAATTAATAATAATAATGAAGTTGTTATTTGAGATAATTACAAAAAATGGTGTTGTAGGCATATGGGTGACAACTATATACAAATGATGATTATATTGACAACTACTGTATACTAAAAATATTTATTATTATTTTTAATTATCACCAGTGGAATTGTATGTCCATAACAAAGTTACTATCATGTGATTTATCATTATTCATTGCATAATATGCAATGAATAATGGTAAATATAATATTATTATGCAATACTTTGAAAAAGAATGTGTCCTAATGGAAAGATCCAAGAGTGTATACCACTTGGCCTTAAAGCTCGGTTGGTAGCGTATCCGAATGGTAATTGGAAGGTCTTGGATTCAAATTCTGATGGGGACATACGTTGTTTTCAAATAAGAATTAAAAACCTGTAAAATGAAAGTGGTTATTTGAGTGTTTTTTGTATCTGTCATTATGTGTATCATTTTGACAGATTAATATTATTAACCCACTATAACCCACTGAGTAGTGGGATTGATGGCTATGATGACATGAATATAAGGAGAGACTTTTTTTATTCTTTGTTTCGCATACTTATTTTTTTTAAAGATTATCGGAGGAGGGCAGAATAAAAATAAAGTTTTGTTTTCTTTTATTTAGCAAATAGTTTCGCAAAAATCATTCAGACGGAGGAGAAAATAAAAATAAAATTTTACTGGTGAATATAAAATAGGATTGGTATTAATGCTTCACATTTATATAATTAAGAAGAAATATAGGCCTACTTATTTTGTCTTTGGAGATTTCAAGACAGCGGAGGGCATAATAAAAATAACGATAAACTTTTATTTTTTTCTGAAATTTCCACTTTTGGCATGGTGGCTGGTCCGTTAATTGGCCAAAATAAAATAATATTTTTTATTCGAAACCATCAATATTTACAGTCGACGGGTTCACTAAACAAGGTATAAAAAAGTCTCGTCTAATTATGGTGATTAGATAAAACCATGTGTCTTTTTCTTTCTCTTTGTAAATGAGTGTTTTTAAATTAATTAAAGGGTATTAGAGACTAACACACCCTCATTACATGATGCAAGCACTCTGCTGGAAACCCTCAACCACCTCTTGGTGGAAAGCAAGGTCAGTAATGTACTTGAGGAATACTGTATTTTCACTGCCTATTTCCCAGCAAACACAAAACAGTATTTTAAAGCCGGACAGACACTGACTGTCGTCGTCGCACGCAGTGAGTAACCGGCTTAACATTAGTTTGTCAAAAATTGAATATTATGTTAATACACTGTTGTTGCGATGTTACATTGTTTAGTTTAGTAAATTATGTTATAAATTTGTATTTATGGTTCTAACACGTTATATTTTCATTGCGGATTTTTTGGGCTCAGTACAGACTCTAAATGTATGCATTTTCTTTTAGTTTTAAGGTGTATGCGGATTTTATAAGTCTGCAATGAGGATATAACATGTTCTCTACAAAAAAACCAAAAAAAACCCAACATTTTGTACATCAAATTGTAATGTAGTTATAACTTTGTCTTACAGGCTACGCTGGATGTTGCCATTGATGTACAGGATTTCCTGGTATTTTGTTCCCTGGAAAACAACAGGAAAGTGCTGGCTGGTGGACTTGTGCAACTTCAAGATATTCTGACTATGTTAGAACAGTGTGCACTAACATGTTGCAACATAAATACCTAAAGTCAAAATGTACAATTATTCTGATTGGATGATGCCCCAGCCATCCATAGCCGACCAGCCAGTCATGTGATACATATTATATCACCCTTCTTGCCGATGCCAATTTTGTCTTCTGTCTTGAGTCAAACTCAAATATTAATATCTATATAGTAGGAGATACGCAAAGCAATAAAGCTCTGGCCAGACTATCAACTATTTAATAAAAACATGTGACATGCCTAAATATGGTCATGATGACATCACATCATGACCATATATAAGCACATCATCACTGTATATGGGCTTACAATAGTTTCTTTGTCATGTGAAAGAAAAACAAAAAAAAGAGCTATAGAAAAGGTGGATTGAAACTTGTAAGTAAGTACAATATTGAAATGAAAATTATCTTAAATTATTTTTTTTTAATACAGTATACAGGAAAGAAACTTAATTTAAGAGTAAAAATTACAAAAAAATGATAGATGACAAGATGCTTGATCGTTCAAATCAGCTTTATAATTAAGCAGAACATTTTTATACATTAAAACATTAGCAATGGCTATACTTACACCAGTTTTAAATTAATTCTTAACTGTGATTCGATGTTATGGTATAAATTAATTGAACAATAACATTCAATCAGAATTAGGAATTGTTTAAGACTGGTGTAATAATAACCACTGCCTTAAACATTACTTTACTCCATGATTTGTCCATCCTAGTTTGGACGTAGCCCTCATAATTTAACAAAGTCAACTGCATTTCATTCCAATATTATGTCTGGTAACTATATTGTTAAGTCCTGGTTAATTCATCTCTCCATTTTGACTTTGGTTCATCATTATTCCTTAGTTACCCAGTAATTATTTATCTGGTTTCATCTTCTATCTGCCCATTATATGCCATTGCAACACACACTGTCGTATATTATTTTTATTCATTAAGGCATTGCTATTTTTTCATGACACTTATTTCCTTATGCTAACAAGAGAATTCCCGAAACAAGATTAACAAAAATTTAACAACATAACATCTATCATTAATTATAGAAAACTGAGGAAGTTAAAAATATTAATGTCATATTTTAAAATTTAATGATGACCAAGTAATTACGAAATAGATCAATTTTACATGTATTATTTCTTTCTTTATTCTCATTTTGGGCTTACAAGGTCTAAAGTATAACATAGAAAAAAAAAAAGATATAAAAAGTTGTATTCCATAAAATATTGCTTTTAACTATGCAATATACAGTAATGTTAAACTTTTAGTATTTGAATTGGGCTGTGCAATAAAGAAACCAAATGACTTTAAAAAAAAAAAAGAATTTATTTTAAACAATAGAAGTTATTTATATTTTGAAAATATTGTTATAAAAATGTTGTTCAATATTTAGTTATATATCGTAAGCGATTAAAATAAAGTAAAACCTACAAAGTCTGTACTATTGGTGGTTTTAATTTCGTTTACTAATCATTTTTTGGTGTTGTTAAAAGATGTACTGTCTGCCAAAAAATCGGTAAAAACCTCAAACATTCATGTATTTAAAAGAATTAAATGAGTCAATAACTTTCAACCAGAAGCAGACCGAACCCCCCCCCCCGACCACCTGCCGTTTTGCTGATTTACAGACATTTCACAACAAAAAATGTATTACCTGCAAATACCTGCAAATTTAAGGATACAGTATATGCAAAACAATACAACGAATGTATTATTTTAAAACTGAAATTGACGGGGAAAGTTTTTATTGTAAGTTCATATGTGGAATTGAGTTTTTCATTCATGCACTACAGACAGTGCATCTTTAATCTTCTTTTCTGTGTTTATAAAAATTGCCTGACCAACGTTTATAGATTCAATAGATTCATTCTGTTTATTTCATGATTAACTTGGTAAGTGAAATATCGATATATTGCTAGGATATAGAACACACATTGGTAGGCATCGATCGTGGACTGGGCCATGCACAACAGGTGTTCAATGCATACATGCTCTCATATACGAGTCATCACGTGCATTCAGTCTCCAATCAATAAATCTGCGCACAGAGTCTATTAACATATGATAATGATGAGCGCGGTCGATTCTATCCGATTGTAGATAATTGCGTAAGTTCGAAAATCAATGCATGGACCAAAATCTGCCACGACTACATTCAACAACTAATTTCTCTAACAACAGATACACGAATCTTTTATTGCTTCAGTTTATGACTTCCATTGCTGACTTGTGGTTTGTTAAGTGAATTTTGTAAAGTTTCGAGTAAAATCTGCACCTTACCAGAACCTTAGTTGATGTACGTGTCTATATGGATATAATCTCTTGAATCCATTAATGAATGGTGTAGTTTCTAACGCTGACGAAGTTGAACGAGTTAACGAATCTGAGATGCTATTACATCCGAGAACTAAAAAACCAACCCCCGTTTTGTGGATGGTTGTTGTATTGGTTTTCATCATAGTATATTATTTCTCAACAACAAATTCAAATTCGAAGACTAGCAACGTGAATCCAAAGTTACTTGTCAATGGCGCTGATGTCGATCGCCAATTTCAGCAAGAAATTCCAGAACAAAATAAACAAATAGTAGATGTTGGTGAGATTGGAAGAAATAGATTTGAAAGGCCAGTCGCTGGTGTTCCAAATGTTCAAAATTTAAACCCCCAGCCGGTTCAAAATGCCCCACAAGATTTATCAGGGGTTCAACCCGACGGAAAGATGAACGTAGTAGGTAACTTGCAGAAACCTGCAGTCAGACCAGTTGGAGGTTTTGCTAATCCTGCTCCATTACACAGAGAACCAGTGGACTTTCGCCCGGGGATTCGCGAGGGGATTCTAAATGTGGGACATGGACTCAATTTACGAAAAGACGACGTCAATCCGGACTACATCGATGCTGTTTTAAATAACGAAAATCCTGACCATGATGCTGTCATCCCTAAATTCAACCCGAATAAGCACGTAGAAAACAAGAAATTTGAGGATTATGCCAATGTCCAACGACCAGACCCAAAATCCTTACCGGTGGATATAATCTTAAGTCCCACCGTTACGTCGTGTGAAAAACCAGTAGTAGTTGTTCTCATAACTACTGTAGTTAAGGATGCACGCTTGCGCACAGGAATTCGCCGCACTTGGGGAAAGAAAGCAAACGTAGATCAGCCGGATAGAATCGAGGGTGATTGGAAAGTTTTTTTTGTGATGGGTCGACCACAAAATGCCTCATCTAACGGAGCTATTGTCAAAGAAGCAGAGTTGAATAATGACATCATCCAAGGAGATTTTCCCGATATGGCAGAGGAAGAGACAAGGAAAGTCTTAGTGGGATTGACATGGATTGTCGAGCAGATGTCATATGTATACCACTGCCAACCTCTGCATGTTCTCCGAGCTGAAGCGGATTTGTATATTAACATGCCGGCCATTTTCAAATGGTTAAAATCGCAACCGCGTAGTAACCTTTACGTTGGTCACGTTGTTCACGGAAACTTTCCAAATCGTGACGTAGAGAGTCCGTATTACGTATCAAAAAAGGATTATCCTCACTATAATCTACCGGATTACGCTGATTCCCCTGTGTACCTCATATCCTACGATAACGTCAAACGGTTTATTGGGGAAATTTCGTCGGTCACACCTATCGCGATGGATGGTGTATACATTGGGCTGCTGGCAGAACATGTCGGTGCCAAACCTACAAATAACGAACACTTTATTTTGATGAAAAGACCGTCGAATGTGTGTTTATATCATCACATGTTTTTTATATTCAGAGTCAATGAGCCTGAGTTAATTCATATATATAATGTAGTTGAAAGACATTACAACAAAAGAGAGTGCTCACGAACAGACTTTTAATTTTTAAACAATTGGTCCGAATCGGTCGGCAAATGAGCTTATGACTATTGCGTTTTTCCTATAAATCCCTAGGAATTCTTCGTCATAAAGTAAAGGACAATAAGCCTATCTTCCCAAATTCTCGGAGTTCACGTCATGTCGCACGTAGCCTACTCCTGTCTCTTATACACATCTAGATGTGTATAAGAGACAGGTGTATACATTGGGCTGCTGGCAGAACATGTCGGTGCCAAACCTACAAATAACGAACACTTTATTTTGATGAAAAGACCGTCGAATGTGTGTTTGTATCATCACATGTTTTTTATATTCAGAGTCAATGAGCCTGAGTTAATTCATATATATAATGTAGTTGAAAGACATCACAACAAAAGAGAGTGCTCACGAACAGACTTCTAATTTTTAAACAATTGGTCCGAATCGGTCGGCAAATGAGCTTATTATGACTATTGCGTTTTTCCTATAAATCCCTAGGAATTCTTCGTCATAAAGTAAAGGACAATATCTTCTCAAATTCTCGGAGTTCACGTCATGTCGCGCGTAGCCTACTCTGCGCGTAAATTAAGTACGAACAATTGCATTGATGTGTAGACCAAGACGGTTGAATGTGAATGTGTATACACAATGACGTCAATTCGTATCAATGACATTTTAATGATTGACAATGCTTACTTATTTAAGATTATGTTTACCTATTGAGTCTCTTTAATACATCATTACCCGAAACTTAACCCTGGATGAGAAAGGGAGTACGGTATTATTTTACTCAAGCCTATTCGACTCTAGGCATCAGACAAAATGTACGTATGTCCACACGCATTTATTTCATCAAATAGAATGTTTATCCCATGTCAAAAATGACACTTTCAGGATATGGTATTCAGTAACGCCAATTCGTATCAATGACATTTTAATGATTGACAATGCTTACTTATTGAAGATTATTTTTACCTATTGGGTATCTTTAATACATCATTACCCGAACCTTAACCCTGGATGAGAAAGGGAGTACGGTATTATTTTACTCAAGCCTATTCGACTCTAGGCATCAGACAAAATGCACGTATGTCCACACGCATTTATTTAAACAAATAGAATGTTTATCCCATGCCAAAAATGACACTTTCAGGATACGGTATTCAGTCCACATGTAGGCCTATTCGGTTACCCGAGCAGGGAATCCAAACCTAGTGATATTGGCAGCCAGTGCCGAATTTACTTGAGATTTTAGGCCCTATTTACTGATCAGTCCGAGCACCAAATCCAATCTGACACCGACAATGGAAAATATTTTTAACAATATTAAAAAAAAAAACAATTAATCTTGAATTCTGATAAATAGTCCTAATAAAGCGAATGTGTATGCCTTCATAAGGAAAGCCTAATGCTAATTAGTTTTAAAGTACACATTTATCAAAGACATAATTTGATTTTTCATTGACTGAAACAAAATTTTTAAATATTTATAAATTGCCCAAGGGACCTCTACCGAATGCTGTTTCATTTCGGTAGTCTGCTAAACCTCTCTATGGTTCCAATACGCACGTCCTAAACGTTACTACATTTAATGTGATACCACCAGCCTATGTTAAATAAACGGCTGTAATTTGTGTTTATCGGAGTTTGTCACATATGATCCTTTCATTAGAATCGTTGTTAAGAAAATATAGGCCTAGAATTTTGTACTCTCCAATTAGAAATAAAATAATATGATAAGTTAATAATATCCTAACAGTAACCAAAAAAGTAAATAAACGCAGAGGAACCCTTTTCACCGCTCAGTTCTAAAGCACTTTGAAGCTCCCATAATTGGGAGCTCGCTGGAACAGAACTCACAGAAGCTCGAGTGAAAGTGGCATCTGACTATCCTATCCTACCAACAACAAAAAAGTAGAGAGAATTTTAAGGGAAAATATAATAATAATAATATATTTGAGCTCTTCCGGCCAAGTTTGAGTAGCAGTTGACGATTCAGAAATTTACCTACAGGTTTGTCCGACAGGGCCGAGGTGCAAATCAGTTGGCCGTATGTCCTGAGCCGGGAATGAAATGAAATGGGAAAGATCTAGAGAGATTTTAAGGTTTAGGATTGTCAAAAATTGTACTTTTCGATAAAAAAAAAAAAAGTACTTTTTTGGCTCGGAAAATTGATGTCGACCCCATGGCATGTCCGAAATGCACGGACCCCCGTCGTCATGACGAGGTTCCGTCCGACCGGGCCGTGACTACTCATTTTGAATAGTTTGTCTGAGGTGAGAAAGTAGAATTTAGTATTGTAAAACCATAGTATAATAACTTCCGAATTTAGGGAGACTAGCTGACCTGTTTCAAAAAAAGAAATGTGTTAAAAACTGGTCAATGGTATACCGTTTTTGTTGAACGAAGAAGAAATAAAGTCCAATATTTTAATTGCTTTGTATATTAGGTTTTTTTTTTTTCAAATCTTATTTAATAATAATGAACTATGATGATATTGAAGATGTTGGTAATGATGATGATAAAGATGATGATAATGGCGATGACCATGTTGGTTGTTGTCGATTTTTGTGGATAGGTTCAGACTTCGAAGAAAGCGGACAGCACCGTATTCCAGGTATTAATAATTTACTGTAGGCCTAGGTTGTTAGTGTCGTGATGGAATAGACAATAACTGGATTTGCGTCAGGAGAATCAAGTACAGGTGTAATTTTTCCCTACCTGACGTGAAAATGTACTCCAGAGATCGTGTGTTCGAGTCCAACCCAAGAACAACTTGCGATTTTTTTCGCATTTGTTTTTCACACGTACTGAGCATTCTACGTACTGGGAGTCCCCGTGAGGTAGGGAAAAATTACACCAATTTTAATAACCAAATCAATCGGTTTTTATCAACTTACCTCTAAACTACGCTTAAAATAATTCAATTGGCTTTACGGGCATCACGTCAGCCAATAGGCTTACCACTTAAATATGTAATACTTGCTTTCGGGACCATTAAATTGTCACCATAATGGCCTCCTTCTCCACAATCTGCTTCACTTCTCTGTTTTCGACCTGTTTCCTACGAAAAATTCCGACCCTCGCTCAGTTCCACTCTTGGTGCTACAGTTACGCTATCATAACAGTTTCGGTATCATTACAATTTCGGTATCGTGCGGTTACTATCTCGGCATCGTTCCCCCATTATCGGTATCGTTCCATTATCAGTATTGTTTTCATTTACAGTGTGTACAAACTTTATTGGTTTTGAACTATCACAACTATTCTCGATACCACCACCGGTTAAAAATATAGTAAATACAGAGCCCCGAAACCATTGATTAACCTCATGCAATTAATCAGGTTTAGCATGTATCATGCACAATAAACATCGTATAAGTAAATCAACTTGCAAGTGTCTGATTACACTACCCTGTTCTACATAAATATTGATGGAACAGCAAAATATCGTCGATGTGTGCTATAGGAGTGGAATTGCAGGTTGGTAGTTATAATGGTTATAAGATGCTTGCCTTCCAATCACATGGTCCTAGTTCAATTCCTGCTAAGGTATCAGAATTTTTCTTACTCTCTTCTAATGAGACCTATATATTTCTGAAAAAAAAAAAAAAAAAAAAAAAAAAAAAAAAAAAAAAAAAAAAAAAAAAACGTGTAGGCCTATGTCTTGCCAATTGCCACAGGAAGATGGTTAAGTTCGCAATTTGTAGGTGGACTTAAATTTTTCAAAATTGAAAAAAGGGGGGAAAAGAAAATTAAATACAAATAAATGTTTAGTCTGAAAGTGCCGTTTCTGATAATCTAGAAGTACCATAGACAGATTTTTCGTTCCTCTGCCCCAACCACGGTGGGGTAAGTTCTGGATCCTCCATCTGTAAAATTGACTTTCTGGGCCCCGGCCTATTTCGAATTCCTGGATCCACCACTTCTATTGGCATATCGTTGGAACTTGCATAAAAATAAAATAAAGACGAGGACAACTATGTCGTCGTACAGTAAGTAATACCTAAAAAAAAGTTCAGGTTAGGTGATTCGACCTCCACTTGCACTGCCACTGCCTTAATTAGACTTTTTTTAATGTTTCGAATTTCAATAACAATTTACATTCAAGATTGAATCAATCAAGGTGCCTACAATGATGCGCAATGAAATAGGAAAATTCAATGGAATTGCATAGTTGTCAAATAAATCGAAAACACAAGAATGCAGCCAAAGAGCGTCATTTTGGCAATATAAAAATGAACGAAAAACACAATCCATTGTTAAAATAATTAATCTCTTTATTGTAGTCTTTTCTTTTTATTTATTTATTTTTTTTATATAGGTGAGCTTTATTTTATTGCACTGGGAGATTCATCAAGGTTTTGCAGAGAACAACCTCAACATAAAATTAATACTGTAATGGTATTTTTGCATAATACCATTCAAGGAAAACAAAAAATTAACAATAAGCTATTTTATTTCCTAATACTGTACTTTTAACTATTAAAGAGCTTATAATATTGAATAGTAATTAGCTGATAATAATAGCATCATTATTACCTGCTTTCCCGGCACAGTATCATTATTTAATTTGTTTTAATAATACAGAATAAATATTATAATTAAGTCCTTTTTATTATTATTATTATTATTATTATTATTATTATTATTATTATTAATATCATTATTAATAATAATACAGTAATAATAATAATAATAATAATAATAATAATAATAATAATAATACCACCCACCCAGAACCCAGTACCAAGTAAAATATCAAGAACTGGAGGTAATCGCACGTTAATAATTATTATTATTATTTAATATTTTATCATTATTACATTGCATCTATATATTGATTATTTAATATATACTGTAATATTTAATTAAATAATTATGGCAGGACACATCATTCATTTTTTTATAATAATACAGAATAAATATTATCATCAAGTACACTCTATAATAATAATAATAATTATTATTATTATTTAATATTTTATCATATTATATTGCATCTATATACTGATTATTTAATATATACTGTAATATTTAATTAAATAATTTGGGTAATCCTGGATCTCTGAGGTGGGTATGGACCCCTTTATCAGGGCCTTGGACCCCTAGTTGGTGCTGCCACAACATTCAGTTACAGGACATATTTATTGGAAATAAATAAATGAAATAATTATAGTGATACAGTATTTAAAAAAGAAACCATGAAGATAAAATTACAGCAGAAACATACATTCCCTCCTTATACAAGTATAATCAATGCAGATTATTCCCATCCACAAATACAGCACATTGTAAGATTACATAGTGCAAGTAGTTGATTGAAGAGGTTTCATTCTGAAATGTTAGGTCTGTATAATCAAATGAAATGTAACCATGACATTTAAGATTAAAGATAAATGAAATGTCATGCATATCGGTGACTGATTACAGTCCAGTGCAATATGGGAAATGGTAAATTTGAGATTAAATGAACGAAGATTGTCTTTTTTTATCTTAGATTCAAATGCTACTGTCAAAATTATAGGGCAGCAAAGATTACTAAGGAGTACTGTACATTGATATTAAGAAAAACAGTAACATTTACTAGTTCAAAATGAAATATAGACACTTTTGATAATCTATATAAAATTGGCAATTTTGAGTCAAAATTGGTGGCATCCCTTCCTTGCTCACACCCCCCCCCCACCTCACCCTTACCCTATGCTTCTGTTGGGTCTGTCACTAATAAATTAACAGATAAATACAATATTATACAATAATTAATTCTTTTAATCTACATTTTAAAATCACTTAGACCAATAATTTATCAAGAATCAAGGTATGCAAATTATAACATTGAGTTGAATATTATCTGACCTCAATGCTAACTCAAAAAGTGTCATTCTTACTATAAAACTGTGACTAAAATATCTTAGTGGTCAAACTCAAGTAGAAACAAATAAACATAACATAGCACAGCTGGATAAACCATGAGCTGCCAGTAGTCACACTGTGTACTAAACCCTGAAGATGTGTGGGTTCCTGGTTAAGTCTAATTATGCTCTCCATTTATTTGATATCTAGGAAATAGGCTTGTTGTTTTTTTGACAGATATTAATAGCCATTTGGTCTGTGTGCATCAAATCCATACATGTCATGTCAAAGAACTCAATGTACTTATCAGGAAGTATGGGTTGTCTCCAAGTTTACAAACAAGTCATCAGTCCACTGTGTGGACCCCATTGGAAATGGGCTTGACCCTGGCCTAATGGGCATTCCTGATGCTCATTAATTGTTTTGTTCTCAAATCATTTTTTATATTGCTTGAGCATGTTGAGCATAGAATAAATTCATTCAATCAATTAATCAATCAATCAGTGACAATACACCTCAAGGATCATACAGCACAATACATGGAAATGATGAGAGATGGTTTTCATGATTTACAACATTGTCTTTGTATCATCATTAGGAACAAAAAAAAAATGCCATTGCATACAATGCTATAATTATCCATTATGCAACTGTGAAATGAGTACAAGGCAATACACATCAGGGTATTGGATTCTCTTATAAATGATGACATTACAACATCTAAAGTAACCATACAACGATCTTCACTGACTGTGCAAGCTGACTTTATATGCTTCATCACTTTAATTATGCAAATGTAAGCCCTTTATTTTAAGGAATGACCAAGCATAATAGTGTATATTAAAATACAGTTTTATCTACTTCATAGCATTACACAAAACTGTGACTTAAGAACATGTGTATCCTTCTTTATTCTCTCAGATTCATCTTTCCTCACTGTCACGGAATGATTTCCAAACCTACTGAAGGTGTAACTCTTGTTTGCAACATGGCCTGATGTTGAGGCTGTGTTGGTTGGATCCCACGCTGACTGTGTTCTAGTGTTTGATGTTGAAAACTCTCTACGTTGTTGCTCTTTAAAAATGACCACTGATGTGTCCTGATAACGCTCATGGATGAATTGCTTGTAGCTTGCATCTATCTTGTTTTTAGGCATTTATAGGTTCATCAGCTTTGTTTGAATTTTCAGGCTCTACGTATCAGTAAATAAAAATATAAATTATGTAATAAAACATATATTCATTAAAAAAAAAAAAACTATTTTTCTAATAGAGGTGCAAAAAAAGCCTGGTATAAGTCTTTAATATATAAAATAAGTGCTATATAAGTCTTTATTTATTATTTTCCAGCACAAAACAGAAATCTAGACCTTTGCATTATTTTATGTCTCAAGACACAACCAACAACGTAGGCCTACTGTACAGACATGATCAATATATAATCAAGAAAGATTGGCTAAAAGACTGGTGTAACAATAGCCAATGCCTTTTTTTGTATTCCCCACCCAATTAGGCCCTTGCAGTGTGCACTACTCCATAGATTATAAGATAAAATAAAGATAAAAAAACTTTATTGATCCACAAAGGGAAACTACTTGCTTATCAAATTTGTACAGTACATACAATGCTCTACATATAAGACGCAAAAAGATGTAAAGGCACATTAAAAGGAAAAACAGTAAGATGAATGAATTAAAATGACATCAAAGTATTCACATTATTATTACAATTATTATACTTGGGAAAAGGCTGTCAGTATCCTAATTTTTTTCTTGAGTCTATGTTTGTGAAGCCCAATATAAAGATTATGATCTTCTAAGGCATAGTACGTCGAATACCGTGTTGCTACGTCTGTAACTATAAGTTTAGAAAACCCATAGGGGTCTATATCTTCTTTGTAATAAAAGACAAATTAAATTTTATATAAAGAATATTATTTGTAAGCCAGATAATTGAGAAATTTGATATAATGTTTACACAAACAGTAACGATAAACAATACAGTTGGAACTGGATTTAACATGTAGGACTATTTAAGGCGAATTCTTGTGATACTGTAGCTTATTTTTCATTAGTCATATTTTTTTAACTGATACATTTTTGTGGTTTAACATAGTAAATTTATTTATTTTGTTATTCGGTGAACATACTGTACTAACAGGTTTGTACCAGCGAGCACTCACGGAAGTGGTGCGTTCCATTTACTTTTATAATGAATAATTATAAATCTGCTACTTTCCTCTGAATTGTACTAACGTAAATCTAAATAATTATCGTACAGTATGTGTTGCTTTTGTGCAGGCGTCTGGGTGGTACTGTATATCATAGAAAACATTTTGTTTTTACTCAAATTAGTATACTATTTTATTATATAATTATTAAATAATTATTAAAAATTATAAATATCAATTTAAAAATTCAAATTTATCATTTGTATATTCATTATCGCCGTGGCTAGAGATACGGTACCATATTTCTACTTCTGTTTGCTAAAGGTATCATGGTAAATGGCATTACCTCACCATCACCCAATGAGCGATTTATTATTTATATAGTATTGTATTGTTGTATCCTTCCGACACACTACCCATGCATGGAGGAATAATTTCTTCATGGTACACCTCAACCGAATGTGGTGCTGCCGAATCCACTCGTCTGGTGAATAAAAAGCTAGCCTAAGCCCAGGCATCATGTGCACTGCCACCACTAATGCACGCCTGGAATCTAGCAACCAGAGCGCACGCAGAGAAGGGGTGTGGGCAGCGTGGCCTAGGCCTAGCCTAGTTATTGTCCCAAGAGGGGTTTTATACTCAAGTTCAAGAACATTTATTATACAACTCTGTATCACTCCTACTTACGCATTCTCTTCAGTATAAAACTGGTTGAATTTAGTTAATGAACTTCAGATAAACATTCATTTCATCTTCGTAAACAAACACAACATCCAAACTTTCGGTTGTCAATAATATAATGAATATTCATTAGATCCTACATATCCATTATATTGACCTTTAACAAATCTATTCTGAGTCTTTTAACACGATCAAAACAAATTAATTTTAATATAAAGTTTTTAAGTTATGAATTATCTATCATCAAATTATAATTTTTAATATTAATTTACATCACACCGTAGCTTTTTAGATTTTTGGAACAACTTGTTTTAAATGTGATGAACAGTACATTTTATTTACGTTGACAAAATTGCAGGAAAACTCCCCAAAACGACAAGAGCAAAGAATACTTAATCACCAACTAAGTACGAACGTAAGGTTATCAAAGGCTCTGCTCTCGATCATCGCTCTCGTTCGCGAGAGAGATTCCAAAATGACGGAACCCTGGCAAGTTTGTACAAAATGGCTAATCGATTGCAAAGTGATCCCAAAAGGACATCGGGTAACCTGGACAAATGCAGTAGCTTTCGATTTAGCTCAAACTTTGAGAGATGGTGTCGTGTTGTGTCAATTACTTAATATGATCAAAACTGGAACTGTGGACCTAAGAAACATCTCTCTTCGCCCTCAAATGTTACAGGTATGACAATTCCGCCCAGCTGTGCGTGTACGTACGGCTTGTGGCCCTGTATTTCCTGGTTTGAACGATGGCTTTTAAACTGTAATATTGGCCTGCAGCGGCCAGATTTGAGCATTATTTTGTATATATGAACATAGGTTCTTATTTCGAAACCGAAAACTGTGCATTGCTTTGTAGTAAATGAATGGAAGTAGTAAATATGAGATATAAAAGCATGATGGAACATAGGCTAGCTAAGCCTGCCTAAATACCTACTTGCTTAGAAGAATCCATATCTTGATTGGTATCACAGCCAGGCAGTGGCAAGAATCTCTGACTTCAAATAGCCTAGGGCCTAGTATTGCGTCATGTTGAGTCTTGTAAGGTACTTGTGTGTAATGTGTTTTAGATATGAAAACAAGGGCAGTCTATTTAATTGAATCACAGTTGTTCCGGCCCTGAGTCGATTTGGCCCGGGTCAGTTGGCCTTTTCGGGGTGAAATGACCCGGGTAAATACTTGGGTCAGAAAACTGGTAAAAGGCCAAGCGTCATGGATTAGGAAAGGTGACCAAGGACATATTAAATAACAGACTTCCAGTAGCCAGTAATAGTGTAGGTATGTTAAAAAAGAAAATCTTGGATCCAAATAATGGTGATGCAAGTTAATTCTCCAACATTTAAATATTAAAATAAAGGTTATTTGATTAAATTTGAGCTAGTGGTTGATTTTATATAATTTTTTAAAAGAATATTTTTAAGCGGAAATCTGGCGTAGCGATTGTATGAGTGGTCGTGACCTTTGTGTTTTGGTGAAACTGGATCGATGCCATAATTTAGTGTCAGTGCACTGTGATTGTGGGAAGATAGCTGACTACTCATCTTACAAAAAACACTTGGCGGACATAAAATTCTTTCATTTTTGGTCAAAATGTTTATTACTTATCTCTCTAAATTACTATTCATTAGGATTACTATGTACTTTCCTGACCACAAAAGTGGATTTTATTCGAGTATAAACTTCAGACATCAACTGCACCGGAAATAAACAATGGATGAACGTAAAATAAATGCGTGACCGTCCTTTAAACTTTAATTTGCATATCAATGCATGACATCATTGATATCCAATCAGAAACGCAATTTTAAATATTTGTTTTAAACCCAACACCTTGACACGGAAGTGCAAGACCACCATGAAAGAGTGGCCAAAATATTGAAGTGTGACATCATGCTTGTAACATACCTAAGAGTAACTTTAAATATGTACGGGTATATATCAACATTTTGAGTGTATTGAAAGGTAGTCTTAATTTTATCTATTTTCAGAAGAAAAATGGAGACACAAGACTACGGGAACATTGTTTTTGTAGAAAACCTTCTTTTCCTCAGAAATAAATGATACGGAATATGTAAATAGATCTTATTTACAGAAAAAAAAATATTGAAGATACAGAAAAAAAATTTTAAAAAGTCCCCTGGGGCCCAGCCAAAATTTCCAAAATTGGACAAAAAGTAAAATTTAATCTTTTACTGTAAAACATAAATAATTTCTTTTATTCTTTTAAAACGCAGGTGGGCAAAGTGTGGCCCGCGGGCTGCATGCGGCACATCAGAGATTTTTTTGCACAAATGAAACACAAATTGAAACAATTTATTTTCTACAGACTTTGTATTAAAATAATCCCTAAATTGATAAGTATGTAGTGAATGCAAATATAACAATTGGTACACTATTTATACTAATATCTGAATTGGCTATAAATACTGTATATATTCAATGGAAAATAATCATTAATAGTTTTTGTTTAATTTTGCTAACAAACAGACAGCGGTGAATACATACAGTAATCGCGTAAGATGAGGCTTAAAATAGCAACTTAGGAACGAAAAACAGAGGTCATCTTATCTACTGTATATGCGCAACATAAACATTTTTTTTTTCAAATCATGTTCATTACTACTGAAATGAAGCTACTAACTGTTACTGTTAGTATGGTCACCATGTACACTTGACGAGCCAGTACACACATTAAGCGCATCTTTTATATTTAGTATTACTGTAATAGCGCCTTTACTGTAGAATACAAAGTATTTTGTTTTCCTTGGTCATTGGGTGCACATGTTGGCCCAGTAGCAAGCAACCCCACCAGGTATCCATTTGTATTCTTGAGTGGAGAGAAACAACCCAGGTAAAGTGCCTTGCTCAAGGACACAAGCAAAATGTACTGCGAGGGATTGAAACCCTGACTTCAAGGTTGAGAAACCAAACCGTTCCCGCTTCTCAAAACCACTTCCAATCGATAATAAAATACAACAAATATAAAACTAGGAATAAAGGAATAAAAATACTATAAATTCAAAATAGATATTTTATAAACATTTTCAAACATTTAATTATCTTTTTTATTCCCACACTTTCAATTGTCTTAAGAGAAAGTGGGCATCTCATTATCTTTTGGCATTCATGGCAAAATGTTATCAAACAAGATATTTGGAATGAGCGCCACAGGTGCCAAAATGTTGTTTGAAAAGTCACCGCACATAAGAGCTATGGAAAGTACTTTAACAGCAAATTCCACACAAGAAATTTGCAGACTTGATATGATAAATTCCATAATAATTTAAATTTTTTAACCATTTATTCGATATAGAATTTCAGTAAATGTACAGTACTAACTTGGTTTAATTTGATTGATAATGTCATTTTAATAAACAGACTGACCAGAAGCAAGTTAATGGATGTATTACTGTTAGCGGTACTGTATGTAGTGAACTATGGCTGTGTTTGGAATTTGATCAAGGAGATGGTCTGTGTAACATCCCTGTTTTATTTTAATTGGGAGATCTAATTTGGATGATCAATCATATCACTACTCACTGTAACTGAAATTTTTATGATGATTGTTACTGTATATCAGTGGTTGAGGCAGGGTCGCCTCTAACTACACCCTTAACATTGGCGTTAGTTCAAGCCGCTCCTCGGCCAGGGTTTGGTTGGTAGTCTTTTTTTTTATACCTTTAGTGCAATTATTTTTTTCAAAGATCATCAGAGTAAGGTGGAAAAAAAATTATTTTCTTATAGTACTGTATTTAGCAAATGGTTTTGCCAAAAAGCATAGGAGGAGGAAAAATTGAAAATTAAATTTTAATGGTAAATGAAAACAGTGTAGTAATGAGATTGATAATGCTTATTTCAATATATTATTAATAAGGAAGAAATATAATTTTTGGAAGATTTTAAGGCAGCGACGGACGTGATAAAAATAAAACAATTTTTATTTATTTATTTTTTAATTTCCATTGTTTGTGGCAGAGGATGTGCTAACAGGTCAAAAACGAAATTTTATTTTTATTCAAAATTATCATTAATTGTAGTCACTAAACAAGGTTTAAAAAAAGTGGCACAAAACAGGTCCAGTGTAATGTACATACAGTACTGTAGTGTACACATCTGGCTTGAGTGGCACTTTAAAAAACCCATTGCATATTTTAGAATGATGTGAATTACTGTAAAGCGCCTCTCCGCAGCTACTATAGTAGTGACAGACCACACCTGTACGCAAAGACGCTGCAAGTTATGGGTTAGGCCTATTCTCCTAACTGTACCTTTACCATACAGTAGTACATGTAGTAAAACTTTATTTATTCACGAAGCACAAATCAACAAATACAATGCTGTTTTTCATTATGGCCGTGAGATACCTTATTTACAATTAACAAATTACACATCATACAGTAGTACACTTTGATTTCGGTTTCAGTAGGTTGATAGAAAGAATTGTAGATTTTATTTGCATTATGATCATTTTAGGACCCTTTTCTTTCTCTATGTGTACTTTTTCTCACTTCATGATGTTTGTATTACCTACTGTTAAATAATTAGTATATCTGTAGGTTGACAACCCATCTCTTTCTCTCTATGTTTTTTCTATGATCATTTTACAGTATACAGTAGTAGGTATTCAGGTAATTTTATATAAAATGTCAGTATTTATTTTTTTGTACATTATCTATTATACATTTATATTACTTTTCTTATAATTTTTTATGAAGGTACAGTATATGGAGGGATGTAAATTATTTGAAATCTACTTGGTGTAAGAGCCAGAGTGTTAACAGACTGTAAATTGTGTTAATTCACAAACCTTATTGATCATAACCAAAAAGTAATAAATTTTTGTATATTTGCCATAATTTTGCCTTTATAAGTGGAGAATGAGAATGAATAAATGGATGCAAATTGATGACCCTGAGGTTGAGAAGGTCACTCCCACATTGATTTTTTTTAAAGAATTATAGTTTTCTGGCTTTTTCACCTGAACTGATAAACATGGATACAGCAGATTTTTTAGATAATATATTTCATTTCATATACTGTACTGTTGGCCTGGTTAGAACCTGCGCTCAATACAATATAAGTTTTAAAGATACATAACCTCTTAATTGCCACTACATTTATAATATGGATCATGCATTTAATAACTGAAAAAAGAATTAGAACTGTACAGATAAAGTAAATATAAATATAATTAAAATTTAAGTGAAGTGAGATCATAAAAATATTACCGTAACTGGGATTAGAAGTAATGTAAATATTATTCGATTCTTTTTATGAAGAACCCGGAAGGGTACAGCAACATGGAATGCTGTCACTTCAGTACAGTGTTCTGCCATGCGAGCAAATTACATTACTTACTGTATTCCTAAACAGCAGCGTAATAATGAGTGAACCATGTTAATCAGAAAATCATAAATTTGCAATTAATATTGCTATGAAATTTGATTCAGGTTTCTCTTTTTGCCATACTATATACTATACTATACAGTAGTAGTACTGTACAGTATATGTTGATAAATATAACAAGAAAAATAATTTTAAGTGTTTGTTTTAACTATTTTTGTTTGATGCTTGATCATTGTTGAATGATTTGCCCAATGAAGGAAGTGTGCATCAACTGCGTGGTAATTGATTCCATGGTTATGAAGTTGACGGTACTGTAGGAGCATTCATTGTTGAGTT